TAGAGGCTACATGTTATTCCATTGCATAACTATGTTACAATATATATAATAGTCAAGCTCCTAGTTTTAAAAACTTACTATTAATATTGCAAAACCACCCATTCCTATTTTCTTAGGTAAACTTCTCAACCTGTAATCATTGGATCCAAAGAGCAAAACAGTTCTTAAGTTTTTATAGTACTATTTTTATGTCATTTTATTGATGTATTATAATCCTAGTATAACTATAATTTGGCCAATATTGTTCCCCAGTATTTCTCCTTTACTTCCCCTCCCCCAGCCCCAAGGCCCCTGGTCCCTTTCTTCTACTTTACTGTCTCCTCTTGATTTTCATGAGATCCCCCTCCCCTGCCACCTTTCTTTGTCTTTTTCCTCCCTGTCTTCCACATATGAGAGAAAGCATATGACTCTGACTTTCTGAGTTTGGTTTATTTCACTTAACATAATGTTCTCAAGTTCTATCCATTTCTCTACAATTGACATAATCTATTCTTCCTGGCTGAAACACACACACACACACACACGCGCGCGCGCGCGCGTGTGTTCTGTTTTCTTTATTCATTTATCCATTGACAGATGCCCAGGCTGGTTCCATAACTTGGCTATTATGAATTGTGCTACTATAAATATGGGTATGCATGTATCACTATAGTGTTCTTACTTTAATTCTTTAGGATAATTACCATGGAGTTGTATATTGGGTCAAATGGTAGTTCCATTCCTAGTTTTTTGAGGAACCTCCAAACTGATTATCATGGTGGTTGTAATAATTTACAATCCCACCAACAGTGTAAAAGTGTTTCTTTTTCTCCACATCCTCTCCAACATTTGTTATTGTTTGTATTCTTGATGACTGCCATTCTAACTGAAGTGAAATGAAATATGTGTAATTTTTATTTTCATTTCTCAAATTGCTAATGATATTGAACACTTTTTCATGTATTTGTTGGCCATTTGCGTTTCTTCTTTTGAGAAGCATCTGTTCAGTTCTTTGTCCATTTTTTAATTGGGTTATCATGGGAGAGGGGTTGGGGCAAAGTTTTTTGAGTTCTCTATATATTCTGGTTATTAATTTTCTGTCAGAAGAGTAGTGAGTAAATATTTTTTCCCATTCTGTAGGCTCTCTCTTCACATTCTTGATTTTTCCTGTGCTGTTGTAGCACTATAAGAAGAAGCTTTGTTAATGGTTTCTCAGATCCCAGACTCCTTTGCTATGTGTGCCCCATCTAAATATTGACCAGGCTAAACTGTGACTGCTCCCCTAAAAGATGATGACCTCTCCGATACCAGTACTATTTATTGTGTGTTTTCTCTCTTAGACTCATTGTAGGGTCTAGGGCATGGTGGGGCTCATGGAGATGAAAATCAAAACTAACATTCATTAAGCAGTTCCCAAGATTCAGGGCACAGTGACACCAAAGAAGAATGTTACCACCGTTCCTATTTCACAAATGAGGAAACCTAGACTTAAGAGAGGTAAATACTTGTGCAGAACTACACAGCTGGTTATACTGCAAACAAATGTTGAATGAATAACAATAAAAGTAACATTGCAAACCTGATGGTCAATATTAATAATTATAACATGATATATTTGAAGAACTTCTTTTTCTTGACTTGAAGTCATCAAATTATCCTGCATTGATCTTTAGATTTCTCTTAACAACTTTTTCCTTCATCAGCTCTGCCTCCATATCCTTCCATTACCAGTTCCTTTCCCTAATTCGAGTTATAACATGAATAAGCTTCAGAGCAACCTGGATGTTTTGTTAAAACATATTGCTAACTTCCACCTCCATTCTGAGTTTCTAATGCAGAAGGCCTGGGGAGGCCAGAGAATTTGGATTAAAAAGTCTTAAGATTATTAAAGTCTTAAGATCTTTACCACAAATCTTAAGACTAAGGCTACTGGCCCAGGGATCAGTTTTGAAAACCTTTAGAGTCAAGTGGACTGACTGCTCTACCTCATTGGCAGTGTTTGTATTCTACTACTTGAGGTTACCTCTGCCATCTTTGCATTTTTCTGGAAAGCACAGTCTACCTGTACCTTCATGTGTGAAAAGAGATCCCTTGCTATAATCAGACCCTTCGTTTTAGCCAATGGTTGACCTAGTGAAGCAAGGCATGCTTTGAACTGGGAGTAAAATATTTGGCTTCTATATCCAGAACCACCTGGCTTTATCTTCTCTGTCCTGAGAGAGCAGGATAGCATCGATTTCTGAGGACCCCTGCTCTCAGAATTTGTTTCCTCTTTAATGTGTATTCAAGCAGCTAACTCATCAGGCCAAATAATAAGTATATAGCCCTAGCATTGTAAGTTCCTTCCTGACCATGTGGCGGGCCACTATTTTAAAAAGCCATATTCATTCATTCTCATTTTCTGCTGGTGGGATTTAACAAACCCTACCTGCCTTCAATTATTACTGAATCAGTTGTGGAATGAGAAAATGCTTTTAGGGAAACATTATTTAATGTAGTCATGCTGAGATTTTTATTGTTTATATGAAATATCTATATCAATAAACAGTAACACACATTAAAGGCTAATGAAGGGTAAAAAGATTTTTTTATCTGTCACTTGTAACTAATTTTTTACCTCAGAATAAATCCAATGAGGCCTGTTAGAAAAGTGGCTGAGCACTGACAAATGCCCCTGCAGATCCATGGATTAGAAACAATGTAGTATTCCTCTTCATAGTTTAGGGGCCCAGTGATAGTGCAGTGACAGGGAGAGTGGCCCCAAGGGCTTTAGATCCTATGAGTACAAACACTGGACCCTGTTGTCCTGGAGGAAAAGCTCTGAAGGAAATAATTCATATCTCATTCTATCCCAACTAATGTCAGCCTCATTACACTGAAGACCAACTACCCAACAAGCTTCCTTTTTGATTGGCTGAATAGAGGGTAAAGTTATAACCCAACATAGTTTATTTATAGATTCTTTTAAATGGATATTTTTAAAATAAAATAAACATTTGACAGAGGCCTTTTTTGAATCCAAAATACTTTTCTTTGCCCCTAGATTGGGAAAGGGGTACATGAAACCTTAAGTTCTATGTCTAACTTAAACCACTAGGGTAAGAGGACTTTCTGATTGGGGAAGTCATCATGGTTTTTTTGGCGCTGTAGATGAAATCTTGTCTTCCCTGGAATTTATTTGGAGCATGGATAAAATCAGGAAGCAGTTTTCCACCACCTTGCCCAGCAAGGGGACAGATTTCCCATTCTTCCTCTCAATTCTGTTTGAGTTTATGAAATCTCTGCTTCCTTCTAGGTGGAAGCCGAGCTGATTGACAAGCTGGACAGCATGGTATCAGAGGGGAAAGGCGATGAAAGCTACAGGGAGCTCTTCAGCCTTCTGTAAGCAGCTCCAGCCCCAGGTGTTCCATGTTGGGGGAAGGAATAAAGCAGGCTAATGAAGGGAGGAGATTAGACCTGCACTGGGCAGGCTGCCAAAGTTGGGTATCAGGAGAGACCCTATTGTTCCTGGTGGTAGCAGTGCTTACCTCTTTCAACAAGAAAGCAAGCTTTCTCAGGGATTGCCATGTTACTGAAGAGCTATGAAAACACAATAACTGAGCACCTGGATTTGCTCAGGAAAAGGATCATTGTATATCTCACAATATGCACTGCATCCATTTGAGCAAACAGATCATGAGAAGTCAATCATAGTTTAGTTTGACACTGGCATTGTGGGAGGTGAAGGTTCTCTTCTTAAAAAGGGACTCTAGGCAGGGTAAAGTGGTACACACCTATAATTCCAGCTACTTGGAAAACTGAAGCAGGAGAATCACAAGTTTGAGGCCATTCTGGACAATTTAGATCTTGTCTCAAAATAAAAAATTTTAAAAGAGCTAGAACTGTAGCTCAGTAGTAGAGTAACTTGCCTAATGTATAGGAGGCCCTGGGTTCAATCTCCAGTACCACACACACAAAAAGAAGGATTCTATTTTCTCTCCTTCATAAGATATTACAGTCAATTTGAAAAACACTGCAATGAGCTCTTAAACATGTCACCCACCGCCATCTCCAGGCTAATTTCCCTGTTTGTGAAATTAGGTGGTTATATTAAATAATGCCAGTGCTCTCCCAGGTCCATTATTTCATGGCTTCTGTCTTGAATTAAATGGAGACCAACAGGCCTTAGAGGACTTGCTAAGGGCTAAGATCAAAGAAGGAACTCAGAAACTGCCCTCCCATGTAATAGTGATGTTGTATTTCCTTTAAAAAATGAAATCTAAGCTCTAGAATATTCTCCCATCTTATTCATCATTTCCAGCTTTGAAACTTTGTCTTAGTACCATTTTTAAGACTAACCTCTAAAGTATTTTCCAGTGATAATATTGAATGTTTACTTAGAACTTAACAGTTTAAAAATGTATGGATATTTCTCATTTTACTAGATCCACACAACACACTTGATATGTGGGCAGGGCAGAGATTATCCTCCTTGCCACTTTAGAAGTGATGAACTGGATTCAGGGAAGTGCCAGCATGTCCTCAGTTACCTGACCAGTGAAAGGCACCTCTAGAAAGAAGACCCAGATTTTCCAATTTCAAGAAGGGGAAATCTCTCTGCAGTATCCTGCCCATATTGTTCATTTACCATAAGATAAAGCGTGAATTTATTTGACATTTAAATAATAATAATCTATGAAAATGAATTCATCCTTTAGTATTTCTCTTTTAACTGAAGGTACATTTTTTTAATTGTGGAAGAAATATCTTCCTGGGTCACTAGAAAATGACTTTACAACAAAGTAAAAAGTAATAACCACAAAAAAAGAATATCTCACACACACACACACACACAACCCACTATTATTAATTACCTGACCAAATAGTGTTTGCAAAACATTTTAAAATCAGTCTGAGAATTGATGGCCATGGATAAAATAGAGCAGCATTTCCAGTTTGTGTTTTGGAAAGATGTTTATAGATATACTGGGGGGAAAAAAGTTGAATCGTGGTCTAACTAGTTTAGAAAATATTCAATTAAACAAAAATGAATAAGCCTCTTTATTAAAGGTCCTCTCAAATTCTTAATGTGCAGAAAGGTGTGAAAAATCTACAAAAGGAGGGTAGTGACCAGCATTTCCCAAGCTTGTGCATTCACAGAACCCCTCTTCCTGTCCAAGACAGCAGAGCTCTGTATAATGGTTTGAAAATGCTAGTATACTGACCTTGTTCACACAAATCATAGGCCCCCAGTCAGTGGTTTTGCCTTCTCTAACAACAAGGATCATGTGGGAAACCCTCACTTTCCCTAATGCCCTGGCCCAAGCTAATACTCTGTGCAGAGAGTGTCATCACTGTAGCAGAGCCACGGTGTAGATTTTAGTCCCTAGTGATTATCCCTAATTGGGCCAGCCATTCCATAAGACTTTCATAAGCTTAGAGAGCAATAAAGGAATCAGGAATAGAGTTATATGCTGTAAAAACCTGGAGCTGGACTTGTTACTGGAGCAAGCAAAAAGTTTAGGTTATCATCCTCTAGAAGAGACTTGGAACTCTAGAAGAGCTGAAAGCCAGGTGTTTTGGAGAATCCAGATGCTTCCTGAGATGATAAAAGAGGGAGCTATCAAAACACAAAAAGACCTGAGTGTTAAGACTTGAGTATTAATCTGGCACATTTTGTTCACTCTCCCTTATACTGAGACACCCAATGCTAGTGGGGAATCTTTCCCTTGATTTACATAAAGAAGTTGATTTCTATGTTTGCTGAAGATAGCTCTGGGCAGCAATAGAGACAGTGAGCCAATTGGTAGAGCAAAGATTATCCCTCTGGGCCCTTACTCAGCTTCTCCTTGAGAAGAAACCTCATAGCATAGCTTAAGGGGACTGGGGCTTTGAACCCTTTCCTCACTTATAACTCAGTGGCATCCTTAGGAACACATACATGGAAATGAGAGATGTGTTCATTTGTTGCTGCCAATCCAATAACTTCCTTGTCTTTGCTTTCTGCTGCATGGAGTAGAACCCAGCTATTTGGGCCCTACCCCAGGTAAGACTAAGGTGTGGTAAGTCTGCTGCCTCCAGATCCATCACAGCCCTCAGACTCTTGAATCTCATTCTTTTTCTCAGAAAAAGCTCATGAATTGTGTTTCATTCCTCTCCACCAATAGCCTGCTGGAGAAGGTTGAACAGGAAACATGGCGAGAAACAGGCATTTCCTTTGTGACCTCAGTAACCCGCCTCATGGAACGCCTTCTTGACTACAGGTATTTTCTCAGGCATCTGCCTGATCTCTTTCAGGATACTCTCTCCTTCAAGGGCATTCCCTTGACCTTAAAACTGAAACTGTGTGCCCTTCATGGAGAAGACTGTTCTGGTATTGGGTAGCATCGCCATTAGGTCTGATGACAAGGAACAGAGACTTCTCTCAGGAGTAGGCAAGACTTCCTGAAGTCCCCCCTCTAAAATGTGGGTACATGTATCCAGGAGGTATCCCAGGGATCTGCAATCATCTCACCTTTCATCCAGAAATGTCAAGGCTCAGATGAATAGGCACAGCAAGAAGGAAGAGAAAAGCTATCTCCAGAGCAAGGAAGAGAACTGCTGTAATTCCTTAGTGCAGACCCTCCTCAGATTCATATGTCACCTGGTATCAATATATGACCCAGGAGGACTTTGAGTTGCTTTTCCAGGGACTGGGGACCTCCCTTTTACATGCCTACATTTTCTGCTTAAAGTAAGTCTATTTATATCCCCTGATCCTAGACATGAGAGGAAACAACCTGTGAGCTCTGATCTTTATATATGTTCAGGCCGAGAGTTTGTGTGAAATTAGTTACTCCATAAAAGCCTATCTTCCCAGTCACCTTATAGCTTTTGAATTAGTCCAAAGTAAAATGAAATGACTATCACAGCCTTAATTATTCTTTCAGTAGTGTTCAAGTGGTGGCTACGGGTACCTTTTGAGAGCCAAGAAGATGATGAGGAATGGATAGGAATGATAAATGAACAAAACCTGGTTCCAAGGAAAAATGCTATGAGATACCAAAGGGTAGCATTTTAACCTATGGATCAAGAAATGAGAGAGTTTGGACCACCTCCAGTTGCTGCTGAAGTAGAAGGTGCTGGTAAAGAAGACTCAGGTCCAGTGTACTGGTCTGGCTATAGAAATGAAATTCCTGAAAAATGTGTTCACATCCTGAGTATCCCCTCTTTCTGTAGCAGAGCTAAGATTTGGCCTATTTTTACTGGGACTGACAAAGTCAAAGGTAACCTTTTTGGGACCCCTTTTAGAATAAGGAATTCCTTTCTTATGACAGGTCCTCAGCCTTTTCTCTACCTGCCATCAGACAGGGAAGAGAGATGGGAAAATTTCATCATTTCCCCCTCATTGCAGCACTTACGTTGGCCTTATTCACTGTAGTTTACCATAAGGAAAAGAAATTAATTTCTTCAATTTCACAGCCTACTTCTATCTGGCTGTTTGATTTTCTTAATTATCCTCTACAAGGAACTCAAATTCTGGCCAAAACCAATTTTATTCTTTATTTTTTTTATCTCAATAGTTGTACCTACAAAACAAGTCCTCAGTCTTTCACATGACATCAGATGCCCTTCTTGAACTGGCCTTTGCCCAACTCACAAGCCCAACTCCTTCCAGTCCCCAGTATTCTCACTCCAAATACCATCCTCTCTTCATTGTTCCTTGTCAACATAAAAGGAAACGTCATGATGTTTATGTTGGCTCCCATCTACTGAAAATCTATTGATGTTGGCTCCCATCTACTGAAAATCTACCATGTTAGTGCTTTATATGCATTGTCTCTAATCCCATTAACATCCCTAAAGGGTTGTCCTTCTTCTTACTAATGAGGATACAACAATGGGAAGGGATATTTTCAGAAGTTGAACACAGATCTAGCTGACTCAAGAACCATGCTAAAAAAAAGAAAAAAATGGAACCACCATTTGACCCGGCTATCCCTCTCCTTGGCCTATACCCAAGGACATAAAAACAGCATACTACAGGGACACAGCCACATCAATGTTTATAGCAGCACAATTCACAATAGCTGAACTGTGGAACCAACCTAGATGCCCTTCAGTAGATGAGTGGATTTTTTAAATGTGACATATATACACAATGGAATATTATTCAGTAGTAAAAGAGAATAAAAGCATGGCATTTGCAGGTAAATGGATGGCATTGGAGAAGATAATGCTAAGTGAAGTTAGCCAATCCCAAAAAAAAAAAAAATGCTGAATGTTTTCTCTGATACAAGGAGGCTGACTCATAGTGGGGTAGAAAGGGGGTGCATGGGAGGAAAAGATGAACTCTAGATAGAGCAGAGATATGAAAAATTGTCCTATATATGTGTAATAAGAATTGTAATACATTCTGCTGTCATTTTTTTAAAAAATGGTTTATAAAAAAGCTTCAGTGATGCCATCTGTATAAATAGACTTACTTCAAGCAGAGAATGTAGGCATGAAAAAGGGAGATTCCCAGTCCCTGGAAAAGCAACTCAAAGTTCTCTTGGGTCATGTATTAGTACCAAGTGACATATGAATCTGATCCTCCTGCTCAGGAGACTGAAGCAGAAAGATCACAAATTCAAAAACAGCCTCAGCAACTTATTGAGACTGTGTCTCAAAATAAAATAAAAAGGAATGGTGATGTAGCTTGGTGGTAAAGTGCCCCTGGGTTCAATCCCCAGTCCAAAAAAAATGAGTTTGATTCTCCTCATCCATGTTGTCACCACTCATATTTTTTCCATCAGAATTCTCTATATGCTATATCCTTTCCTAAGAGAGTCTTCCAACCCAACCCATCCCCATAAAAAAAGGTTTTCCAAGCTAAAAGCTCACCTGGCATTCAGTGCATACCTTGTTGATTATCAGTTATCACAGAAAGAGCCAACTCCTTAAAGACAAGAGCCTTGTCCATTTTCCCCTATTCACCTACATGGAGATTGCCTCTGGCAGGTACATAGTAAATAATGATTGATAAGATGAATTCACTAGGAAGACCAGGCAAAAACCAAGAAAATCTTTCCTTCTGCTCCAGTGCAGTTTAGTTCAATAAGAATTTGTTAATAAGAAAACGAATATTGAAATTTTAAAATTTACATATATTGATTACAAATATTATAAATAGGTTATATTCCTGAACTTCAGTGTGAGGCTTAATTTTAGACTGGCAAATATCCTCGTATATTCAGAGGAGTGACTCTTCAGCTTTTATATTAATGTCTTTAACTTTTATGTGAATCCAAGACACTATCAGTGAGATATAAAGATACTTATTGGTTGCACCCATGTTTCCCAGGTTGGGAAGAAGAACCCTAGAAGAGTTTTCTTAGAAATAGACATAAGGTTTTCCAAGCCCTTGAGTCTCTAAGTAGAACACCTACCTGCAATTGGTAACTGGAGTTTATGGAACCTTCCTTTCCTAGGCCCCTCCAGTTGTAGTAGGGACACCCTGGCCACTGATCTAGACCTCAGCAAACAGGTGCACATGGGTGCACCTGTTGCCTCAGAAGCCTCCTTCAAGAGGTTCTTCATTACTCACCCTCCAGAAAAAGAGCTAAAGGGAAAACATTAGCTGCACCCAAGTCAAATACATTAAAAGCTATCTTCTTTATTGATGAGCCATACAGAAGTGATATAAAATCACTCAAAAAAGAAGATATTGCTGTCAACAGTGCAAGAAAGGCTGGGATGTAGTTCAGTGGTAGAGTACTTACCAGGCATGTGCAAGTCCCTAGGTTCAGTGCCCAGCACCACAAAAATAAGAAAAAGAAAGAGATGCTTGATATTGAAATGCAGGTGGTTGTGGAGCACAAAGATATATAGGAAGGCCCTGATATCACAGTGGCATGAATTTTCAATATCTCTTCCTTTCAAAGTAGCCATGTCAGAGTCTTCCCACTGTGTTCTGGGAAGGTAAGGAGAACTGGGTTTGCCAAATAACCTCAGAGATTCAGTGACTCTGGCTGTGTGTACAGGAGGCTACTTTCTGGATTCACCAGTCTGGTGCTCACTGCCCTTCATCTCCTTATGCCAGGCTTTTGCTCCTTCCCAGACAAGCCTGTCTGTGACTAGCCCCTATCTCCTTTGGGAAGAATCCTTCTCAGTGTCCCCATTGTTCTGTCTCTCACAGGCCAGCACTGACCCTTGCTACACCCAGACCCTCTAGGTATGAATGTAGCCCAACCCCGGCTAGTGCTGTCTCTGAATCAGAAAGAAGCAGCAGGCCTATTACTTCTAGTGAGATATGGTTCCAAAGACTAGTGCATTGAGCAGAGACCATAGGTAGAAATGCCAATTATGTGGTGAGCCCATTAGCCATGCCATGATTGCTATGGCCACAGGGTTCTAAAGCTAGACCCTTGAGTAGAGGGGTTGAGTAGCTTCTATTCACTATCCAAAAATTAAAACTTTCCTTTTAAGGAGAGTTCTATGCCTCCTTTTAGGGGAACTGACATGTCATTCTGTGCCAAGAATGTTGGCAGGTGCTACTTAATGCCTTTGATATAGCATCTGGGCTCTGCACTCTGCCACCAGAACAAGAATCTCAGTAGAACAGAGATATTTGAGCCCAAAGAAGTGGATGCAAAGCTTAGAGGGAGCTCACAGTACAGTACTCGTTCGTGATTTCTGTTGGAAGGCATCCTAATCTGAGATTTGGTTATGATGATGACCCAGTGTTACTGTAATTTTTTTATGTATTCTTTCAGTAGTTCTGCTTCATTTCATAGGTATTTATCTTTGTTCTCCCTTCCAGGGACTGCATGAAAGGAGAGGAAACAGAGAATAAAAAGATCGGCTGCACTGTTAACCTGATGGTGAGAGGACACTAGCTCTTCCTCCTGTCTGTCTAGTGGGAGTTTCTATCCTACACTGATTATCTTGGCCTTCTATAATACAGTGGCTGAAGATTTAAGTCAGGGTATCAACTCTGTTACTTGGAGGCCTGAACCAGATACTTTCCCACTTGGGGAAGGAATGAAATTAGCTTTGCTTTGGACAGAGCTCTAACTTGGCCTCTTTGCAAGGTCCCACCAACCATGACATACCCTGTTCCCAGTCTGCCCTAATCCCTAATCTGCTGTGGGGCTCTTCCTCTTTCACAACACTCAGGACTCCCACAATCCACCAATTCCATCCCCAGCA